TCTCCTTTCAAAATAGATTTTTTTGGCTCAATTTTTATTTCATTAAAAATTGAGAATTTTTTTTGTTTCCTCTGTAACAAAAATATTTAGTGTCGGTGGTGGTTCAAAAACATTTAAAATACAAAGAGATTGATCTTTAATTTGTTTTTCGGTAGAATCAAAGATGTTGAATTCTACTTTTTGATCATCAAATTCTATTGTTAATGAACCACTAGACACATCAATTTTTGTTTTAGCGGTTTTTAAGAAGGGTCATCCCAAAAGAATGGGTGTAGTTTGGTTATCATCTCCCATTTCCAGAACATAAAAATCAACAGGGAAAATCAAATTTTCTACTTCTACTAGCACATCTTCTACTACACCCTTCGGGTAAGTATTAGACCGATCCGCTAGTTGAATCACTACACCACTTTGATGTAGTGGGCCGAGTTGTAAGGATTTATATAAGGAATAAGGAATGACATTTATTGATGCTCCTAAATCCAACAAGGCCTTAGAAAATAATGTATCCCCTATTTTGCAAGGAATAGTGGACATGCCTGGATCGCTACATTTCTCAGGGAGTTTCTTTTTAAAAATGGCCGAGACACGTTCACTAACTTCAACCTTTTGTTTCCCTTCCCGTTTATTTTTCTTTTTCATTGTGCATAGTTCCTTTAAGAACTTTGCATAACGGGGAACACTTTTGATCAGTTTGAAGAGTGAGATGTTTACCTCAGAATCGGCGAAGGTTTCGTAGATGTCCCGATCATTCTTCAGCTTCCTCGTGTCTTTCAATGCCTCGGGGAATGGAGGGAGTGGTTTATATGATGATAGTGGAGGGAATTTAGTTTTCGTTGGCTCCTCCTCTTCCGGTTGAAAACCTTCTCCAAGATCAACCTCTTGCTTCTCCTCCTTATCTTCCCGTGCTTGCAATTCTTTACCGCTCCTCAACATGATTGCATTGACATGTTGTCTTGGGTTTTGCTCAGTTTGGGAGGGGAGCCTACCCGAATCTTTTGCCTCGAGTCGACTTACGACACTCGAAATTTGGCTAACTTGAGTTTCCAAATTTTGAATTCTCGACTTGGTTTCATGTTGGAATTGCATCATGGTTTGTTGGAATTGCCCCATGCTTTGCTGCATTGTGCCCATATTAACGACCAGTGCTCGAATCATGTCTTTGGTGGACATACTCGAGTTCGATGGTTGACTTTGTTGTTTATATTGTTGAGGAGGAGGATTTGTTTGAGAATTTCCGTACCTTAAATTCGGATGATCCCTCCATCCCGGGTTGTAAGTATTGCCTTGAGGATCGTACCTCCTTTGACCTTGGAACCCCAAAGCATTGACTTGCTCGGAGTTCTCTTCTTGTAGCGTTGGGCAAGAATATGTGGGATGCCCTTGTGTTGAACAGATGCCGCAGACCTTGACTTCTTGGTTTTTTGGATTTAAAAGGAAATCTTTAACCAAAGAAGTCAAGCCGGCTACTTGACTCTCCAACGAGTTGTTGGATTCCGCCGCCATGACTCTCTTTGTTGACCGCCGATCATAGTGTTTACAATTTTCGGCCAACTCCTAGATAAGATTCCTAGCTTGAGAAGGAGTTTTGTTGACTATTCCTCCTCCACATGCGACATTGATCATCCGTCTATCATCATCGCAACGACCATCATAAAAGTAAAGGATGAGGTCTTGCTCCGAGTAGCCGTGATACGGGCAGCTTGCACAAAATTTCTTGAATCATTCCCAGAATTCATAGAACGATTCATCATCTTTTTGCTCCACATTGCTGATTTGTTTCTTTAGAGATGAGGAGATTGAGGCAGGATAATACCTTTCGAGGAAGCTCTTCTTCATGGCCGCCAAGTGTCTATGCTTCCCGAGGGGAGATAGAATAGCCAATCTTTGGCGGTGTCTTTGAGGGAGAATGGGAAAGCCCTCAACTTAATTTGCTCCTCGGTAACACCGTTCGGACACATGCTTGTGCAAAGGTTGTGGAACTCCGAAAGATGTTTATTCAAATCCTCTCCTCTTAGCCTGTGGAAAGAGGGAAGTAGATGAATGAGCCCAAATTTTAGCTCGAATGCGACCCCCGTATCAAGAGTTGGAAAAGTGATACATAAGGGTTGTTGATTTAGATTCAGAGCCGTGAGCTCCCTCAACGTTCTTGTTTCAAGAGCCATAGTGATTGACTCTTCGGTGTCGCTAGAATGAAAACTAGCACTTGATGATTCCTCCGAAGAAGTATTCAGAAATAAATTCCTAAACCTCTCGAAGGCTTGTTCTGTTTCGGGCTTTATTTGGTAGGTGATTTGGTTTATAGATCGGTGTTTAACCATATACTCAAATAAAGCTCAGAAGAATAGAAATCTAAGAACTCTTTATATTTTATTTATTTAATTTTTTTTTTCTTGAAATAGAATAAAAAGAAAAATTAATTGCGTTTACCTGGCAACGACGCCAAATTTGACGTGCACTTTGTCACGGTGCGTCAAAATAATTTTCAATACTAACACTTATACGTAGTATAGCGTAGTAGAATTCGTATCCACAGGGAAATGAATAATTCTCTTTTTATGAAACTTAGTAAATAAAGGGGGGATTTGGATCGAGTGATTTAATTTAATTAAGAACTAAGATGAACAACCTATATGTGTTTAATTCAAAGATAAAAAGGACTTGGCATTGCTACTTTCCACTTGTTGATATATTTTAGTCGATCATTGTTATATCTATAACTTATTCCCTCTCGAATACTCAATCGGGGAGTATATCCACTTCATCGAGAGTAGTTATTAACAACAACCGTTCATTAATAACCCTTACTATTAATCAAATATAGAACAACGCCTTATATCGATTTAATAGTAGCATTTAATCTTTCTAACTCCTTGATGAAATCAATTGAGATTGATAACCTCAACACAACGGTTTCGGTTTAACCAACAAAATTAATCCCTCTTAAGTTTATTAATCACGACCGTGCATTAATAAACCGAAGTTACTTACTTGTGAAACCATCAACGATTAACCATCGGTTCGTTGATCGTTTCTAGTAATAATTAATATATGAAACAAAACTAGTTGATCCTTTAAGTAATGTTCAATATATTAATATGAAATATGAGTAGGAATTAATTAATATTCAAGGAAGAACATTATTAAGGAAGATGAATCCTACTATAATTAATATCAAGATGTTAACTAATTGTCATCTTAGCAACACTCCCCAACATTAATATAGAGGAAGAAAATACTATTCTAACTAATGTCGAGATGTTAACTAATTGTCATCTTAGCAACACTCTCCAACATTAATATAGAGATGGTATTGATGAAAGAACTATTAACTAATATTCAAGGAAAGAAGTTAACAAAATAACTCACAACTTTAATAATCAACAAACTTCAAGAGCAACACCAAGAAATGGAAGTTTAGCTCCTCATTTGGAGACTAAACATAGCTAGAAAAATATAAAGAAATGTTATTCTAAACTGAGCTTAAGAGTATGGAAGAAGGGATGATTAAAAGTGAAGGAAAATGGGGTTATTTATAGGTGTTTTCAAGACCTATAGCCGGATACCCGGCCGGGTATTTTGACATACCCGACCGGGTATTTACCAAATCAAATATTTTCCCATGTTTTTGTGTCTTCTCCACGTTCTTTGGTCCGAAATCACTTCATACCCGACCGGGTATATGGAATACCCGACCGGGTATTTGCTAGTTTTGCAGCAGTTTCCTTTGTCACTTCATACCCGGCCGGGTAAAGTCTATTCCCGACCGGGTTTTGCATAAAACCCAGGTTTTTTCCATCCTTCTTGCATCCAAACCTATCCTAAACTTATAGCTCAACTAACTACAACTTACAACAAATAATAAAATGCTAAAAATACGATCACAATCAAATGCAAACTAACAACTACAAACTTGCATAATACTAGTAAATAAATATTACAAATGATAATAAAAATGTACACTTAGGCACTAACAACTAGTGCCTATCACGAGATCACGGTCTCTGGCTTCAGCAGTCTAATCGGCCAACCTGTGTAGTTGCTTACTCCGATGCAGATTGGGCAGGTTGTCCTGATAGTTCTCGGTCCACCACAGGTTTTGCTGTATTTTTGGGTCCTAATTTGGTTTCCTGGAAGACTAAGAAGCAGCATACTGTGTCCAAGTCCTCCACAGAAGCGGAATATCGTGCCATTGCTTACACAGTACAAGACACACTACATATCCGATCAGTACTGTTCGAACTTGGATGGCCTATCTCAGAGCCGGTACATTTATTATGTGATAATATATCTGCTTCTTACTTGACTGCAAATCCAGTTCAGCATGCTCGCAGTAAACATATTCAGATTGATTATCATTTTGTTCGCGAACGGGTTGCTCATGGAGATCTGATTGTTAAGCATGTTCCTACTCATCTACAACTAGCAGATATTTTTACTAAAAGTCTCTCTAGAAAACGTTTTCATTTTTTGAAATTAAAGACAACCTGCGCGTTGTATCTCCCGCACAATTTGAGGGGGTGTAATAGAATTATTAGAGGCTTAGTATTGTACTTTACATTAAACTCTCTTTAATATAAATATATCTATCAGGGCTCCTCAGGGAGTAACCTTTCCCATTATTCTCACATCTTATACATCGACTGTTTTGTCTTAAAATTCAATCTAAACTATCTTCACATGTATCACTAAAATCGATATGCTTTTGGAATAATTAGTTACTATATCAAACTAGTAGTCACTCGCAACGTTATTATTTTCAAATATCTCCCCCCTTGACATCATTACCGTTACATACATATACATATACATATATAAGACCTAAACAATTAAAAAACTTAAAAAAAAAAGCTAGGCAAAAGTATCCAGAAATAATTTTAAAATAAAGTAACCCTATTTAATTTGACACTTAAAAAAAACCGTTGATCGATCATCCATCCTCATTATTAATTAATGTGAATTAATAAAGCTTAGAGTTTAACTTAAAAAAAAAAGCTTTGCTCGTATATTATTATTATTATCATCATAACTGTAATGAGATGGATTGAGTAATTATTATTATTATTATTAATATATGTGGTGCAGGTGCATGTACGTATTAGATGAGGTGGATGGTGATATGTTGAGCAGCATCCCCTTTGGAAAGCGACAGTTTCTTCGTAACCACTCGGGAGCGGTTCTCCACAGTGACGACGTAGTCGCCCAGAAAGGCGTTGAGGTTGAACGCGCCCTTTGTGTTGCTGACGCCCTTCACCGTACCCGTCTGCCACTCCTTGAGCAGCTTGTCCACCACATCGCCCACCACGGTGTTGTTGAAGGCGAGGTCCGTGAGGCACATGTTCCAGCACCCTTTCTGCGTGATGCCCGCCCACACGATGATCCCGTCCACGCCCGGGTGGGAGAACCCTTCCCGCAGCACCCTCTCCATGTACACCGCCTGCTCCTCCTCCGAGTACTTGGAGCTGATGTCCACCTCCGTGAGCCACATCGGGACCCCCAGCGTCGCCAGCTTGTCCATCACGGCCCTCATGAAGGCCGGGTTCGGCACGTTGAAGTGGCCCTCCAGCCCCACCCCCGGGGCCGCGATCCCGCTCCGCTGGAACTCCTTGATCTTCGCCACGAACGCGTCCACGTTCGTGCCGTTGCCGCACTCCTCCACCACCTTGAAGTCGTTGATGAACAGCTTCGCGCGCGGGTCCTTCTCCTGCACCTTGCGGTACATCTCCAGCGACGCGTTCGGGTTCCCCAGCCGCCGCTCGTAGAAGTCGTAGTGCAGCATCTCGTTGTTCACGTCCCAGTGGATGAACTTGTTGCGGTACCGCTCCACCACGCTCTTCAGCCTCCGCTCCACCGCCTCCTCCAGCTGCGGCCCGCTCAGGTTGCGGGCCCACGACGGCGCGAACGTCGGGTCCTGCCACACCACGTTGTGGCCTCGAGTCATGATCTTGTTCTTGCTCACGAACTCAACCATCTCGTCCGAAGTCTTGTAGTTCAGGCTGCCCGGCCGAGGCTCGTTGGACGGCCACTTCAGCTCGTTCTCGAATACGGTCGCGCTGAACCTTTTCTTGAACCACTCCTTCATAAAATTCATTCATTCATTCATTCGTTATGTATTTATATATATATATATATATATATATATATATATATATATATATATATATATATATATATATATATATAGTATTACGTACGTACGTGCGTACCTGATAGCGCGTGTCGCCCACGATCATGCCGGATATAGCAGCTCCAAAGGGGAAAGCGCTCGAGAGTTGCTTCACCTTCACGGTTGCGCCTTTTAATGGCTTCCCTTTCGCGTCTCTAACTCTTATTGTCATCTCACGCTTTCTTTCCTACACGTGATTGGTTCATCCAATATCTTATTAAACCATGCACATACAAATTAAATACGGACTCAAAAATATTAAAACCGGCCTCACAAATTAAAATAGCTAGGAGTACGACGTCAATGAGTATTAATTATATTCTGGAAATAAAAAACTTCGGATCGGAGCAATTACTTCAACTTCTATTTATGAATTTTCTCCATTATACTTCGTATATAATATATAAGGGCCGGAATTTATTTTACCTTGTTAATCATGACTTGTTGATTTGCTCTCCATTGTTGCTCGGTGAATGGCTGCAATGAAGTACTAGCAATCTCTATTTCCACATTCTGCCCATTTATCGACTACGTACAAAATAAATATGCACAAAAATATTATTAATATAAATAATCAAGTGGCTTGCTGGCTACATTTAATCTCCATCATCTACGGGGGCGGACCCAGGAAAGTCATTTTGGGGGGGCGAAAATATTTTTCGGGGGATTAAAATACTTTTTGGAAGAACAAAAATCATTTTTCGTATATATATACACTAAAAAAAAAATTGTTGGGGGGCGGTAGCCCCCCTGGTCTCTACTACGGTCCGCCCCTGATCATCTAGTAAATATCTAGCTAGCTAGGTACGTACGTACATTTACATGCATATACTAAGCTATGTATGTATCTATACACGTTTTTACGTTTGACCATTATTAAATTAGTAGAGTTAAAAAATTCAGATATTAAAAATTTAAAGTGAGAAAAATTTAAAAATATTTTAAAAAAATTAATTTTTAAAGTAAAATATCCATTGTTAGGCCGGATAGAATCAAATTAATTACCTGGAAATATAAAGAAGAGGCATTCAAAGGTTCAGTGAAGAAAAGTCCACCCTTGAGGAAGGTCCAGCATCCTTCCTTAGCAACGACTGTGGCTTCGCAATGTGACACCGTCCCAACACCTGCCCATATCAGAGCAGACTCAGCACCACCTTTCACTCTTACCCAACCTGAACGGAACAATTATATAATCACTACGTTAATTATATAATTCAATCTACCAATATAATTCAAGTACGTAGCTAGCTAGCTTTTCAAAAAATTATACTACACGCAGTTAGCTAGCTAGTAACAATTATATATAAACCTACTTTTATACAAAAATTAAACTGCTGCGTCGTAATATATAGGTTAACAACGTACCTTGTCAATACTCCTTAATAATTGTTAATTACTCCTTAATAGTTAAGTACTTCACTTATAATTTATTTTCAATTTTACTTATTTTTATCTATACAATTTCACTTAAAATTAGTAATGATTTCGAAGAACTTAACTGGACAAGCTGTAGTAAGTGCCTGGGACAAGATTAGGCAAGGGATATGAAAGGACGCGGATGCTAAAACCATATTGATTTTTCACAGTTTCATAGGTAGCTTTCTGATCCTTGAGAATTCCTCCTCCATAAAGTGGCTTCTCAGGTTGTTCTTTGCACTATATATATTCACACAAATTAAATAATTAAGTAAAAAGAATAACTTAACCTATCAAGATATCACTAGTACATATACATATATATATATATATATATATATATATATATATATATATATATATATATATATATATATATATATATATATATATATATATATATATATATATATATATATATATATATATATATATATATATATATATATATATATATATATATATATATATATATATATATATATATATATATATATATATATAAAGTGATTCTCAACATATGCATGCAATAGCCATAATTTAATATGTATATATGACTAAGCTAGTAAAATGATGGATTGGGACTAAATTATTTCATCTCGATCTATAAGAATTAATGAAAAGAATATAAAGGAAAGAAATAGATGCTTTTATTATGATGAATATTGAAAAATAACAGTCCTATCCAGAGAAACTGAGAAAGTAACCATATATATAATAATCAACACGGCTCGGTATAGGCCCCGATCCACCTAAAACTTGAAAATTATTTTATATTTATGCTTAAAAATGATGGGTGTGTGTGATTAGTAGCTGAGTAGTCAAACCATCCATCAACCAAGTATGGTTTTAAATAACCCTTTCACATAGCTTTTAATCTCAAACAAGTGAAATAAAAAAGTCAAGAAACCTAGAGTTTAGATTAAACCAATCATAATAATGATTATGATATAATTATAGAATAACAATTTCAAACAAATTAAATCTTAAAAAATGCATCAAACTATATATGTAGCTTAACCTCTATTTAGTTATTAATTACCTCTGTGGGAGCGGACGAATCATACGCAATATCTGTATTACAAAGCAAAAACAAATTTTAAAAGCAAAAAAAAAAAAATTCAAATTATGAACATTCAAAAGCTAGCTAACATATACATAGTATATATCATCGATTTACTCGGCCAGAATCATTGATTTACTTTGTGGACCCCTCCAGAAAAATACAAAAAAACTGTTTTTGGGTAAAACAATGCACAATTCGAAATTTTCAAATTCCACGTTTCACATTTATTCTCATTTCCCTCCTTAAATAAATCGTGTTCTCAATTAATCCAAAATAAAATGTGTGTGTGTGTGGGGTACCTTGTGCTAGGGTGGTGGTAATATCTGTGGCAAGCAAAAGAATGATACAAAATGAAAGACGGGGAATCATCTTCTTCTTTAATTCTTTCATCGTCGATAGATCTTAATTAATCTGGAAATAACAAGGTAGATAAAGCTCCTAAATAATATTTAGGAGACGACAAAAATGGAGTAAAAGTGACTAACTCCAAAAGCTTAGGAAAGCTTCCTGAAGCTAGGGAAATATAATGTGAAGCTAACATGCACCGCGCGAGTCGAATTTATACATTCACCCGACCTCTGATTTAGGAAGTAATTAATTAATTAATACTACGTAATATGAGTGGTTGAAAGAGATTATCGCTTAATTATTTGCATGTCTACGTACGAACCTTACTTTGTGGATCACCATACACACTTAATTAGCTTTTTCCTCCATTAATTAATTAATTGTATGCGTAGGGTATAACTTTCGCCCTACCGCTACTTAATTAGCTAGCTTATTCCGTCCGGCATGCAGTATTTCAAGCCATGCTGCAAGCTAATTGAGTAACGCACATTGATTATATTTCATTCCGGCCGGCCACTTAAAGTTTGACCCTAGCTAATTAAGATCGACACACACACATATTTACACACATATTAGCTTTTTTTTACACGTGCGGCGTTTTATGGCACCTCTAATGAATAGTGCCGCAACGTGTTTTTAGAGGCGCTTCTCTGCAAAAAGTGTCTCCAATATTTTTTTCCCGCTGGGCGTGCGGTGATTCTTTCTCCAAAAACGCCTCTAAATTTGAAAAATGAAGTCACGTGTGCGGCGCTTTATTGACAAAAGTGCCTCTGAATTTGAAAATCTTAGTGACATGTGCGGCGCTTATTTGTTCAAAAGCGCCTCCAAATTTGAATTTAACGGATAATTTTAGAGGCACTTTATGTGAGGAAATAATGGCTTACCCTATTGGGAGCCCTAGCATCATATTTATATTAAATAAATAAGAGTATTTACATACAAGGCCCTATAATATTCTATTACACCCCCTCAATCTGTGCAGGGGAAATCACATGCAGATTGGAACGTAAAAATTCAAAACGGTGACTACTTAAGTTCTTAGTAAAAATATCGGCCAACTGATATTGAGTAGGAATGTATTTGACCGCTAGATCGCCATGTGCAACACGTTCTCGAACAAAATGATAATCGATCTTAATATGTTTGCTGCGGTCATGCTGAATGGGGTTGACAGCAAGATAGGAAGCAGAAACATTATCACAAAAAAGCTGAACAGGTGTGGAGATGTAAATGACCATGTCCGCAAGTAGAGAGCGTATGAAAAGAGTGTCTTGGACAGTGTATGCGACTGTCCGATATTCAGCTTCAGTGGAGGATTTGGAGACTGTGGGCTGTTTCTTGGACCTCCAAGAAATAAGATTTCCACCAATAAATACTGCATAACCAGTGGTAGATCTACAACTGTCCGGGCATCCTGCCCAATCAGAATCAGAATATGCAACTATGACCGATATACTCTGTCCAGAACGAAGTCATAGACCGTGAGTAGTAGTCCCCTGTAAATACCTGTATATTCTTTTGACAGCAGCAAGATGAGTAGTACGAGGTGCATGCATAAACTGAGAAACCAAATGTACGGCATAAGTAATATCAGGACGAGTAATAGTCAAGTATTGTAAGGCACCTACCATACTACGGTACTCAGTATCATCGCTTAAAAGATCCCCATCTGTGAGAGACAGTGTAGTGCGAGAAGGGAGTGGCGTACGGACTGGTTTTACCGTATGAAGATGAAAGCGCTGCAAAAGATCAGTGACATATTTTTGTTGAGAGAGAAATAAATCTTTGGGGGTACGATTAGCTTGAATACCGAGAAAGTAATGTATGTCCCCCAAATCTTTCATAGCAAACTGACTGGATAAAATCTGGATAAAGTGGCGAACAAGGGATGAGGAACTACCAGTGATAAGGATATCATCCACATATAACAATATGTAAATAGTGTGGGTCTGATATCGATAAGTAACCATGGAGGAGTCAGACTGACTTTGACTGAATCCATAGGAGAGAAGAAAGCCATTGAATCTATGAAACCAGGCGCGTGGAGCTTGCTTTAGCCCATATAGTGCCTTGCGTAATCGACAGATGTGAGAGGGATAAGAGGGATGAACAAAGCCAGGTGGTTGACACATGTATACTTCTTCAGTGAGATAGCCATGAAGGAAGACATTTTTGACATCTAGCTGACGTACTGACCAACCCAGAGAGATAGCGACTGACAACACAAGACGAACTGTAGTGGGGTTGACCACTGGACTGAATGTTTCAGAGAAATCTACCCCAGCCTGTTGATTAAAACCCTGAGCTACTAACCTAGCCTTATGTCGCTCAATAGAACCATCAGAACGATATTTCGTCTTGTAAATCCACTTACACCCAACAATATTTTTGCTCTTGTCAAAAGGTACTAAATCCCATGTTTGATTAGCAATGAGCGCGTTAAATTCTTCTGCCATAGCAGCCCGCCATATTATATTTTTATTAGCTTGGGAAAAACAGGTGGGATCATTAGACACGTCTAAAGCGTTTAAAGTAAAAATCTGTTTAGGTTTAAAAATACCATCTTTAGCGCGTGTTTGCATGGGATGCACATTGGGAGCCACAGAAGCGGGAATAGGTGGCGGAGATGGAGATAGGGTGGGTGAGGGTGTGCGCCGTGGAGAGAGTGTGGTCGGTGAGTTTGTAGGGCTAGGCCGAGAAGTGGTAACATCTGGGGAGATAGGATGTGAGGTCTGTATTATGGAGATCGAGGGGTGAGTGTGGTGTAGAGGGAGAGGAGATGTTGGTCGGCTGCAACTGGGAGGTTACTGGAGGGGAGTTGGGTTGGCAGATAGTTGGTGCGTGGGAAGCATTGGGGAGAGGGAGTGTCCAAGGAGGAAGAACAGGATCCCGAGAGTCAGGGGTAGAGTTTTTAAGGAGGTGTGGGTATGGAAAGCTGGATTCTAGAAAAATGACATCTCGGCTGACATAGACTCGGCCTGTGCAGGGATCAAGACAACGATAGCCTTTATATCCCGGAGCATAGCCCAGAAAAACACACGAAGTGGATCGCGGGGACAATTTATTTGAAGAATTAGCAATAATGTTTGGAAAACAAGCACAACCAAAACCACGTAAAAATTGATAATCAGGACTTTTGTGAAAGAGTATCTCGAACGGAGACTGACCACGTAAATTTGGAGTAGGCAAACGGTTAACTATAAACACAGCGGTATAAAGAGCATCTACCCAAAAATGAGAGGGGAGATTAGCATCGATAAGCATAGTGCGAGATAGTTCCAAAAGGTGTCTATGTTTTCGTTCAGCCACTCCATTTTGCGCGGGAGTATCCGGGCAAGATTTTCGAAAAAGAATGCCACATTTAAGAAAATGGTTGTGAAAAGCAGAATTAACAAATTCACCTCCACCGTCACTTTGAAAACACTTAATTTTGCGGTCAAATAAATTTTCTGCAAGAGTTTGAAAATTGCAGAAGTGACTAAAAACCTCAGATTTCTTACGCATTGGATAAATCCAAGTATAACGAGAAAAATCGTCAATAAAAGAAACATAATATTTAAAACCTAAGTTAGATAACACAGGAGATTGCCAAACATCAGAGTGAATTAACTGAAGAGGAGCAGTAAAATCATGTATAACATTTTGAAAAGGAAGACGATGGGATTTGCCCACCTTACAGGAAACACAATCATGAGAAAAAATGCTAGTACTAATAATTAAATTATTCTTCCTAAGAGACATTAAAATACGATCCCCACAATGACCAAGACGTTTATGTCAGACTGGGCCAGGAACGAGTGAAGTCTTTAATGCAAAAGATGAGGGTGGCTGATAAGCTGCTCTAAAAGGATAGATGGAGTCTCTATTGGAGGCTTGGAGAAGTGTGGCTCCCGTTTGATTGTCCTTAACAAAAAAAGAATTTTTATTTAAAATCACAGAACAATCATTATCCGCACATAAACGCTGAATAGACAATAAATTATATTTAATGTGCGGAACATGATAGACTGATTTTAATAATAAGGGGTGAGTGGCAGTGGTTAGGCTCACATTACCAATATTAGAAACATGAAGATTAGTACCATTTGCAACTTGAACAGAAAAAGGTCCAGTGTAGGTAGATTTACTGGAGAAAATACCTTCATGTGGAGTCATGTGAGCGGAGGCCCCAGAGTCTGGGTACCACACAGAGGCATTGTTTTCACCTGTAGGTATACCCGCCAATGCTGGGGTAGCATGAGTGATGTGAGTTTTCTCGCACTTAAAAAAGATTGTAATATAGCAGTGAAAGTACGAGTATCGTCACCACAGGGACGGTAAAAGGGAATTAAGAATTAACTAAAATCAGCGATAAAAAAAATAAATAAAACAAATGCGGTCGTGCGAGAATTTGTTGCTTGAGAAAACTAAAATTGCAAATAAACGATTAAAAGTAAATAATTGGGTTCTTCTTAATTAACAACGAAGGGAACAAGGATTGATTCCGGGGTAATCAGATTTCTGGCAGATCAGGCTTAATTACACGAATTTAATTTAATTGAGCCTAGCTAATCAATACTAAATTCTTACCGCTCTCGCGGCGTAGAGTACAATAATTTAGGGGACCAGGCTGATCTCTCATGCGACAGGATCCTAAATTATTGCCAAGACGAACGAGCTTACGGCCCCTTAATCGCTACTAATCTCTTAGCGAACGATTAATTAAGTGTGTGTGAATGTGTCCTAGAACAAATTAGATCTCTCTTAATTTATTCTATAAGCAATCGTAATTCTAGTGGCCATTCTAGGTTACAAAAGATATCAATTAAATTATTCAAACACAAATTAAACGGCATTCATGCAATTTACACCATCAAGAACCTAACCATACATCATGATTAACCCCTTCATCAACCCCAAATCCCTAATTAAAACTACTCCCTATTCATAATTGAAGAATCAATAGAATTGGGATAGATAGAATTAATTGTCATTAATAAAAAAGTAGGAATTTACAAAGAATGTTAAGGAATTGATAAACCTGGCTGAAAAAACTCTCTAATCTCGTCCTTAATCTCTCTCTAAACTTCCATCCCCCATAATTAGGGTTATGGGGGTGGTATATATAGGAAACAAGGCAATTTGGGGTGAATTAGGACAGATTTTGGGTACGCACGGCACCACGCACGCGTGCGTGGCGTCCGTGCGTCC